CCTATTAGTCTTGTACTTCTCTTGTCTATTTTTACATCTTGTTTTGTGTCTGAATATACATACACACACACGGATATATAGGTCTCTATGACTCTCTATATATCCATATATATCTCTACATATGTCTATCTATATCTATATATTGCATCGGTATGCTTTAATTTCTTTTTCTACTGTGTAACTACTATAGGAATTTTGTGTGCATGTATGGGGGGTTACCTTGGAGCTTACATAAAATATTTTATAGCTATAACAGTCTATTTTTTAAAAAAGAGATCTTATTTTAAAGTTATCTCTAAAACTAACACGGGGCTTGAACTTGCAGCCTTGAGATCAAGAATCGCACGCTCTTCCAACTAAGCCAGTCAGGTGCCCCTGCAACAGTCTATTTTAACTTAAGTTCAATTACATATAAAAACTCTACACTTCAACTTCTCCCCCAATACTTTTTTACTGTTGTCAGAATTTACATTCATATTGTGTATCTTTTAACATTTTTTTAAAAGATTTTATTTATTTATTTGACAGATAGAGATCACAAGTGGGCAGAGAGGCAGGCAGAGAGAGAGAGAGAGGAGGAAGCAGGCTCCCTGCTGAGCAGAGAGCCCAGTGCAGGGCCCAACCCCAGGACCCTGAGATCATGACCCGAGCCGAAGGCAGAGGCTTAACCCACTGAGCCACCCAGGCGCCCCTCTTTTAACATATTTTTAAGGTATATTTTAACACTTTTGTCTTTTAACTTTTATACTAGAATTAAAATTAATTTACCCACTACTATTATAGGAATACAATATTCTGGTTTTGTCTATGTATTTACCTTTACCAAGGTTTCATACTTTCTTATGCTATTATGTTGTTATCTAGCATCCTTTCAACTTGAAGAATTCTCTTTAGCATTTCTCCTAAGGCAGGGCTAGCGGTGATGAACTCTTTGAGCTTTTGTTTGTCTGGGAAAGTCTATTTCTCCTCCCTTTTTATGACGGACATTTTTGCTAAGTACAGTAGTCTTGCTTGGCTTTTTTTTTTTCTTTCAACACTTTGAATACATCATTCTACCCTCTTCTGGCATGCAAGGTTTCTGCTGAAAAATCCACTGATAGTCCTATGAAGGTTCTCTTGAACATGCCAAGTTGATTTTTACTTGTTACTTTCAAAATTCTTTTTCTTTGGCTTTTTGACAGTTTGTGTGTCTCAGTGTGAATTTCTTTGCATCCATTCTTTCTTTGCATAAGCTTTATGATCCTTTCTTCCTTTCTTCTCCTCTGGGGCTTTCATAATGCATATAGTACTATGTTTGATGAGGTCCCGTAAGTCCCTTAAGTTTTCTTCACTCTCTTTCATTCTTTTTCTTTTTGCTCCTCTGACTGAATTATTTCCAATGACTTGTTTTCAAGTTCACAGACTCTTTCTTCTCTTTGCTCTAGTCTGCTATTAAACCCCTCTAGTGAATTTTTCAGTTTAGTTATTGTGTCCTTCATCTCCATGGTTTCTACTTGGTACTTTTTAAATATTGCCTATGCTTTTGCTGAAATTCCCACTTTGTTCATGCATTTTTCTCTTGACCTCAGAAAGCATCTTTATGACAGTTATTTTGAATTCTGTCAGGTAAATCCTATAACTCCATTTCATTAGGGTCAGTTTCCAGAAATTTATTTTCTTTCTTTGTTTGGAACACCTTTGTCTGATCCATCATTTTCTTTGTCTGTGCTGGTGTTTGTACATTGTACAAAATAGGCACCTGCACCAGTGTTCACAGACTGACCTTGTATAAGAGAAGACTCCCACCATTTGACCCTGCCCAGGATCTGGGGCGGGGGCGGGGGGTGTCTGTCAACTCTTTCCCTCCACAGGAGAAGCAGGAAGCTGTGGTTTTTGTATGCTTGCTCTGTGCTAAGTCAGGGGTGGGGAAGCTGTTGTATGTATCATCCAAACCACAGTCCCTATTCTCCCTGAGGTGGTTAGATAGCATCAGACCCATCACAGCTGTTCACTTTGTGCTTAGCAGGAGGGAAGATCTATGACATTCACCAGCCAAAGCTGCTGTTTCCATTCTCCCTCAGGTGGCTAGATTATGCTGGACTCATCAGAGTTCTAAGACTTACAAGACAGAAATCAGTCCTCTGGGAGCTCCCTGGGAAATTCCAGGGTGCTGGATGCATAAACCACACTCTCTTTTCCATAGGAGAAGCTGGGAGTTAGGGTTCTCTTCCTGATTGTATGGCACTGTGCTGGGAGCAGGGACTCTGGTGAAAAGGGGTCCTGAATATTGGCTTTGGTGAGTCTGGTTTCATTTTCACCTAGGGTTCAAGAGCCTTACAATTAGTCTGTAGATTTTACATAAAGTGAATCTGTTTGTAAATTGTTGCTGACTTAGTATGTTTGTGAGGGAAGCAGGATCCTGGGCTTCTAACTTTGCCGTCTTGCCAATATTGCTTCTGGAAATTCTTGTTGTATAGATTTTTCTAAAGTCAAAATACTTTGCCTAAATTTGGAAATCTTTTTTATTTACAAACAAAAGCTGCTCTTCAACATCTGTGATATTTTCTCACTTAACAAAACTGATTTCTAAATTTATGACAGTTTTATTTATAAAAATACATCATTCAGTATTTCAGAGATCATTGTTTATAAATCATATCAAGTTCAATAAAAACATTTTTCTATTCTTATGAAGAGCCAAAAATTACCAACAGTCATTAAAAAAATAAAAGAACTGGTTAGATATATTTTTGCAGAAATAACAAATGTTGATTTAACAGAGAAGAAATATTGTTTCATCAAATCTTTATTTAATATATGGAAATTTACTTCAGGTCAGAATAAAAATGTCACCATGGACTTTATTGGGATACCACAGTATATTCTAGTCTTTGGTTTCAAGCATTTCTAGATTTTATTAAAGACAACAGAAATGCTACCATAGTAATAACTGGCCTATAAGTGGCAGTGAGGCAGTTTATTATTTTGAAGTATAATCCTATTAATAAGCTTCCTGGAAAAGAGCAGGTAATAATACTATACAAACAGAAGTCTACTTTTAAGGTTTCAAATTTTAGGGTATCAGAGAGATTTAGTTAGGTGTAAATAAACATATTCTGCTATACACAAAAGAGATTAACAGCAAAAACTTTCATCTTTCTAATGGTTAGTTCAAATGCTATTTTAAAAATACACCCCTGGGGCATCTGGGTGGCTCAGTGGGTTAAAGCCTCTGCTTTCAGCTCAGGTCATGATCCCTGGGTCCTGGGATCAAGCCCCATACTGGGCTCCCTGCTCAGAGGAAAGCCTGCTTTTCCCTCTCCTACTCCCCCTGCTTGTGTTCCCTCTCTCACTGTGTCTCCCTCTGTCAAATAAATACATAATATCTTAAAAAAAAGAAAACCACTTCTTTCTAAGGTTTATTCAATAACCAGTTAACTATAGCTTAAATAATGGCAAACATTGAGTTATAAAAATTATGCTTGATTTTCCATTAAGAATTATTAGTTTTTATGATATTACTTATTTATTTGACAGAGAGAGATCACAAGTAGGCAGAGAGGCAGGCAGAGAGAGAGAGAAAGGGAAGCAGGCTCCCTGCTAAGCAGAGAGCCCAATGCAGGGCTCGATCCCAGAACCCTGGGATCATGATCCGAGCCGAAGGCAGAGGCTTTAACCCACTGAGCCACCCAGGTACCCTCATTAAGAATTATTATTAATGGAAAATATATCAGATGAAAGCATAAGGGGTTGAATTTTTCAAAACTGACAACTGTACAGGTGGTGCAGTAAATTCGCATCCGCAGTTAGGGGGATGGTTAACTGAAAATTCTAGTTAGTTGTCCAAACTACAGCTTCTAACTAAATGCGATCTTAATTATTAATATAAATCTGGTTATAGGAAATAAATGTTTATGTAAGATTGCTTGATGGACATGATATCCTAAATGTTACCTGTTGGAAGGAACAGGGCAATTAAAAAGTTTTCTATCCAAATTGAATTCAGAGTTAGATTAACGGGAGAGCCAGAAAACCTAGTCTAACGGTACTAAAACATTAGTGGAAATACAATGCATTAGAGAAAATTGGGTTTATCAAAATTTCTCTCAGAAACTGAGATAGGTGGAGGTGACTGGGTGGTTCAGTTGGTTAAGCGACTGCCTTCAGCTCAGGTCATGATCCTAGAGTTCCAGGATTGAGTCCCACTTCAGGCTCCCTGCTCAGCAGGAAGTCTGCTTCTCCCTCTGACCCTCCACTTCTCATGCTCTCTCTCTTTCTCCCAAATACATAAAATCTTAAAAATATATATATATTAAATTTTAAAAAAAGAAATGGAGATAGGACAGCATATTGTGATAAGACATTTGGGGTGGGGCATGAGACCCCCAGTGAACACGCTCCAACATCCAGAAAGTTGCCAAACTGCCTTCTACCGAGCACAAGCGCAGTTACAAGAACATGTTTTGCTTTAAGGGGGCCAGTTCGGGGAAAGAGCTAAATTAAATTATTCAGGATAACAGACTAACCTACCAACCTCCTTCTAGCCTCCTGTGAAGTTTAATGGGATGTCAATTAATAATATCCTGACCAGCCATTCACATGCTCTTGGTTCATCCTGGGGAATACTCCTGAGTCCTTACAGAATTGTCTTTACTTAGTAATGCTTTGGGACGATAAGGTACACCCTAAGAAAGTCACATGAAACATAATATTCTATCATGGGGATAAAGTTAAGAGTGAAGGATCCCTTTTATAAGATCTACAATAAGTCTTTTTGGAAACAACCACTTTGTTTTTATCTTAAGGACATTATGGAATTTGCAAGTGAGCTTACCTTCCCTTTTGCTTTGGATGGTAGGACACTTAAGGGACAGATTTGCCATCTCATTCTTGAAATGGGTTCAGAGTATGTATACCTCTTATTTCTTAGCTTCTATTTTCTTAACTAATTTTTTCTTTCACCTGTACTCCTTCAATTTTTTTTTTCACTCTTCTATGTTAGTAATGTTTTTGAAAGTTACCTTTATTCCTTTGCAACTAGCTGGAGCCCCTGATTCCAGGCTCTGAGGCCTTCCTCTTGGTTAATTCACTCATTTTGACAGAGCATCCCCTCTAGCAGCTGCCTGAGACAAGGGCAAATGAGAAATAATTTTTTTTTGATATCTCAGTTATTTTTTTTTTAAAAGATTTTATTTATTTGACAGAGAGACATCACAAGTAGGCAGAGAGGCAGGCAGAGAGATTGGAAGGGAAGCAGACTCCCCGCTGAGCAAAGAGCCCGATGCAGGGCTCGATGCGGGGCTCGATGCGGGGCTCGATGCGGGGCTCGATGCGGGGCTCGATCCCAGGACCCTGGGATCATGACCTGAGCCGAAGGCAGCGGCTTTAACCCACTGAGCCACCCAGGCGCCCCTGATATCTCACTTATTTGAAATTGTCTTTCTTCTACCTTCACCCTTGATTTAGGCTGGCCATAGAAAAGTCTCTTTTTCTGTGCTTATTGGGCATTTAAAAAGTAGCGTTATTTCATTATGTTTAGAATTTAGCTGTTCTAATACCTTTGTACTGATCAAATTATTTAACAACCGTAGGAAACCAGAGCAGGCAAATAATTGAGCCACTGTTTTCTGAACCTTAATACGATATATTATATACAAAGTTAACACTGTGTAAGGGAAACTCTTGGGTTCTATTTTTCAAAATATTAAGAACCTATTTTTTCCCATGTTGTTTGTATAACCTTACTCCTTTCTCTTTTTTATTGTAGATGCCATATGCCAAGCTGGCTTATATGGGATAAGATCGCTGACCCCTTTTGGGGCCTGGCTCTGTTTGCTCATTCATTCATCATTCACTCCATATCTCTCCCATTCTCAATTTCCCCATCTGGTTTCCCTTCTCTTCACCATTGCCACTCTTCTTTCTTTCCTCCGGGAAAACCCCATAAATGAAAATCTGTAACTAACCAAAACACAGATTGGGAGAGTAATTACACTGCTTGAGCCCACGGCTCGGATTCAGCCACCTCCCTCTGCATTCTGAAAGCGAATTCCCTCCACCACCACAGACAGAGAGCTGTGGTACCGGATTTAAAATACCTTAAGATTTCAAGTTGAAAGAACTGGGCTATGAGCAAGACACTGTGCCAGGTGCTTTAATCTCAAATTCCTCCTCATGGCAGTTCTAATAGAATTCTGTGGGTTTGTTTACTGTGATTTTATAGGTAAGAAAGATGATGCTCATAGAAATGGATTTGCCTTAAGTTCTACAGCTAAATAAATGATCAATCAGTGTTCAAATGCAGATCCACATGGAGAGATACTCGGCATCACTCATCATCAGGGAAATGTAAATCAAAACCACGGCGGGATGTCACTTTAGGCCTGTCAGAATGGCTAGCATCAAAAGGACAAGAAATAACGAGTGTTGGTGAAGATGCGGAGAAAAGGGAACCCCCATGCACAGCTGGTGGGAATGTAAATTGGTACAACCACTATGGAGAACAGTATGGACTGTCCTCGAAAAATTAAAAACAGAAATACCATATGATCCACTGGATTATTTACCCAAAGAAAACAAAACTATGAATTTGAAAAGATATATGCACTGCTATGTTTGTTGCAGCATTATTTATAATAGCCAAGTTATGGACGCAACCTAAAAGTCCGCCAATAGATGAATGAATAAAGATGTGATGTACATACACACACACACACACACAGAGGAATATCACTCAGGTATAAAAAAGAATGAGCTCTTGACATTCACAACATTGCTAGAATTATGCTAAGTGATATAAGACAGAGAAAGACAAATACCATATGATTGTACTTATACGTGGAATCTAAAAAAACAAAAGAACAAGCAAACAACAACAACAAAACCAGACACAGACTCATAAATGTAGAGAACACACTGGTGGTTGCTGGAGCAGAGGGGGTTGGGGGGATGGTAAAATAGGTGAAGGGAATTAAGAGATACAAATTTCCAGTTATAAAATAAGTTGAGGGGATAAAAAGTACAGCCTAGGGAATATAGTTACTAACACTGTAATAGCATTGTATGGTGAAAGATGGCAGTTACACTTATGGTGGTAAGCATAGGACAGTGTATAGAAGTGTCAAATCACTAGTGAGTTGTAGAGCTAAAACTAATATAACATCATATGTCAAATATACTTCAATTAAAAAAAGGATGAAAGAAATTTAGATCCAACTCTAAAACCTAAGTTTTTAACTGAGTTTTAAGCTTTGTTTTGTTTTTAAAGATTTTATTTATTTGACAGAGATCACAAGTAGGCAGAGAGGCAGGCAGAGAGAGGGAGAAGCAGGCTCCCCGCTGAGCAGAGAGCCCTATGTAGGGCTCAATCCCAGGACCCTGAGATCATGACCTGAGCTGAAGGCAGAGGCTTAACCCACTGAGCCACCCAGGTGCCCCTAAAGTTTATTTTTAATGGGAAAAAGTTTTGCTTGCAGGGAGGACAGGTTTTTTTCAGGAATGTCGTTGATAGTAAAACTGTAATAGTCGTTGATAGTAAAACTCTTTGGGCACTCAGGATATCTTAACTTGATTTGAGGAAGAAAGCAACTTTAAAGTTGAAAGATCATCTTTTAATCTTTAATGTTTACATTAAATTGCATTATAGCTGGAGTTTTAAAATTTATAAGGTTAATTTTCACCATGGCTATAATAGTAATGAAAAATTCAAATGTTGTGATCTCTAGATCACAGAGTTTTGGACTGCCTTCATAGATGAACTGCCCATACATTTAATTTACCTTCAGATAATGAAAAAAATATTCTCTTGGTAGCATATAAAGTATTCTGACATGCCAAATCTCCTCATGGTTGGTTTTTATGTTTCAGTTAGGGAGTGACATTTTTGCTGTGTATAGACTACTGAAAAAGGACGAGTTATCCCTGTACTATTTTAGCAGTTTAAAAAAGCTTTAAAAGAAATCTGCAGTTGACCCCTGAACATGGGTTTGAACTGCACACGTCCATTTATACATAAATTTTTTACAGTACTGTAAAAGTATACTGTAAAAGTACAGTATTTTCTCTTCCTTATGACTTTTTAAGATTTTATTTATTTATTTGACAGAGAGAAATCACAAGTGGGCAGAGAGGCAGGCAGAGAGAGGGGAGAGGGGGAAAGCAGGCTCCTCACAGAGTAGAGAGCCCGATGTGGGGCTCTATCCCAGGACCCTGAGATCATGACCTGAGCTGAAGGCAGAGACTTAACCCACTGAGCCACCCAGGTGCCCCTGAGTTTTAAGTTTTAACCTAGTACTACCAATACTCTCAATACTTGAGAAAATCTTAGTCATTCTCAAACCCCTTTCTGCTCAGCTTGAAACAAACAAACAAACAAACAAAATTAATTATTTAATAAACATTAGGCTTTTTTTGTATGGAAGAGATGGTAATAAACAATAAAGATGGTAATAAACAATAAAGATGGCACTGCCTTGCTCTTAACTTGCTTATTTCACAAGGGCAGAGACAATATTCACTTGTAATATTCAATGAAAAGGTTAAAATACAAACTAGCAAAACAAAATGCCTTAAAGATTTAGTTACATCAAGATATTTGAGATGGAGGGGCACCTGGGTGGCTCAGTTGGTTAACTGTCTACCTTCAACTCAGGTCATGATCCCAGAGTCCTGGGATTCAGTCCCACATTGGGGTCCTTGCTAAGCAGGGAGCCTGCTTCTCTCTGCCTACTGCTGCCCCTGCTGTGCTCTCTCCACGCTCTCTCTCTGACAAATAAACAAAATCTTTAAAAAAAAAAAAAGAAAGATCCTTAAGATGGATGTCGGGTGAAAAAAGGTAAACATAGATCATGGAGATGGAATAAAACAATAAAATCAATCCTTCACTTTATTTTGTTCTTAACACTTCTATCCAATCCTTTTAGAGTAATATACTCAAAACTTAGGTTTGCCTCAGTTACATGTGCCTTCCCATTAACGTCATGACCTGGTTTACAACAACAATGGCCTAAGGCCTTTTGCTAATTTTATTTAAGATTTTATTTCCAGGATAAGAAATTAACTAAAAGGGGGTACAAGTGAACTTTCTGGAATGGTAGAAATGTTCTCTCTTAATTGTGGTAATGCTTATATGGCTATGTTTGTCAAAATTCATAGAACTTCACACCTAAAAGAATACATTTTACTGCATGTAAATCACCTCAGTAAACTTGACTTAAAAAAAAAAAAAAGCCTGAACTCTTAACCACTCAGCTAAAAATAAAACTTAAAATACAGTTTATAATTTAGGTGTAAAACAAATCTTATTTATATGCGTGAAGCAGATCTAGTAATTTTTTGTATTTATTTATAACACTAATAATCCAACTGGATTTTATATAATTCAATATAATAATATCAACATTTTAAAATAGGATATAAAAAAATGTTTTGAATTTTTCTTACAAAGTAAGGATTTGGACTGCAAAATCTTCCTTATAACCGTAATGTTGCTAAGGCAATGCCAATGCTATTTTTTAAAAATCTCAAACAAAATAATCTAAGCCTATTAAAAGTTTCAATGATTTAAACTGCCAGAATATCACCACAAAAGCTGCTTACATAATATGCTGGAAATTCTACATTTAATAGTTAAACACAAAGAATTACCGGCTAGCTTTATTAACTGATAGATTCCACTATGTCCTAAAACACAATCGTAGCTCTGCTTCTAAAAAAGGCAAAGAAAAAAAAACATGATTGTTTTCAACATGGATTTAAAAAGACAACAACACTATTAAGAACACAGGAAGGGGTAATTAAGTTATGTCTCCCCTTTATTAAGGTTTCAATAGATGAAAAAGCAACCAAGAAACCATTTACAAAGGTCCCAGCCTCGTAATTGTTTTAGAGACCAAAGTCACTGGACTCTGTCTGGCAAAACAGTCCCAAGTTACACATCAAACTTCTCAACTCAGATTTGTAGGATCTCGATTTGAATACCCTCTGTTTTTATTCTGTCAGATATACCGAAGCCAACCACGTCAGTGTGAATTAAGAGGGCTAATGTAATTCCAAGCCCTGGAGACCCTGGACCCTTGTGTAACAGAAAGAACTTTTTCATTTTGATCAAATGAGTATAATTATG